ACTCCGTTAACTCCGTGGGCGGAGGTAACGAGACCGATTACGTTACCTCCCCTCCACTCCGTTACTCCGTTAACTCCGTGGGCGGAGGTAACGAGACCGATTACGTTACCTCCCCTCCACTCCGTTACTCCGTTAACTCCGTGGGCGGAGGTAACGAGACCGATTACATTACCTCCCCTCCACTCCGTTACTCCGTTAACTCCGTGGGCGGAGGTAACGAGACCGATTACATTACCTCCCCTCCACTCCGTTACTCCGTTAACTCCGTGGGCGGAGGTAACAAAGCAATCATTAAGTAAATGTTATTGTTGTTGAGATTCGCGTGTACACACCCACTCGTTATATATTGACACTATATAGTTATACCTAACTCTCTGGCGAGGAACCGGTAGATGGCGTTGCTCTGGAAGATGATGTCATCATCCACCCACAGCACGGGCAGTTGGCCGAATGGGGTCTCTGTTAAATGGAAACACGACCAAAATCAATAGTAACGTTGCCTAAGACAACGACGACGACGACGACGACGACGACGACGACGACGACGACGACGACGACGACGACAACAACAAGAATAAGGACAAGAACGTATCAGTTATATCATAGAACTAACGCTTAAACATAATACAATAATTGCAATTGAGTTATATTTCAGCACCATCATCACGAACATGATGATTGATGCTAATAACTAAATGTCTACCTAACAACATACACTGTACAAGTTCTATTTGAACATCCGTCGCTCCACGAACAACGCTTGTATAAAAAAAGAATAATTCATCCTCTCCGTTTCCCAGTAAACTAATATGTTTAACTCATTCTAAGTTCTTCGAGATATAGCATTTACCTTGCTTCTGTTCCATCCATTCCTCCTTCGTCATCCGTTGGTCCTCATACTCGGTATCAGATACGGCAAACATTAGTCTGGCAACCTCCGCCAGACCACGGAGGTTGAAATACACCAGTTTATAGCTAGGCATGATGGCGATCACTTGTATTCACACCTAAATATTATCAAGAGTTCATAATAGAGTCTATATGTCTTCTATATAGTTTTCTATTACGGACTCTTACAATGGTCTTTGAATAAACGCCTAAAAATAAACGGGTTTATCGGTCTGTAGGAGTAATTATTGCTATAGTCACGTAAATAGATGCGATCTTTGCTTGTTCCGGCAATGCCTTTCAATCCGGATTCATTAAACCGTAATAGTAATGTCAAAGCAAGACAATGGTTACAAAGTCTACGCTCAGGTATACATTTCGTGAGGATCTTCGCGGAATGTAAATAACTGCCACATGACATATTATGCTAGGACTTGGCTGGTGTTGCGTTATTAGTGAGTTTTATATAATTACCCGCGATGAAAAGCTATGTAATTACCTGCCGTAACAAATATCTACTTACCTGGCGTGAAAACTACGATGTCGATGATTCAAAAAACCTAGTTACGGAAACAATTGTCATATACCAAAGTGACGAATCCCCTGTCTGCCCAGGTAACGTATAAAATCAGTTTTCGCGAAGTGTTAGTCACTTACCTGTATATATGGAGAAGAGCGTCGACAGCAGGCACCAGGGCGTGGAGAGCGGTTCTGAATCACGGAGCTCTTTATATATGTGCAGACGTTCATGTTTGCGCTCTACGCTCTAGGTATACGGAGCAAAGTGCAGAATCTGCTACCAGGGGGGGGGATTTGTGTACACAGTGCACCCCCACCCCACACACCATGCACTCGCGCCCTTGGCACATATCAATTAAGCGCTAGTATTTTCCTAACTTAGCATCGATCTCCTTCCGGCTAACATTTTCGTTGTGACGCCTCTTTAAAATTTCATGTGGATTTTGTGTTTTTGTTTGCGGCAGCCTATTTCTATTCGCTGTGGGTGTTTTGACCAACCCCGTGTAACCCGGCCATAGCAACTACTCTACTAGTGCAGCCCCTTTGTTACATCTAGCGGGTGCGAAGGGGCTGCATAGATAGAACTACCCCAGGCTAAGCAAACCATGTGCTGTCTTCACAGCTCTGTGTGATTTTTCTATTGGACGCGTCGAAGGCGAGTGAAGAAAACGTTAACGTAACCTTTACATTTCGGAACATTCAAACATGCACGCACGACTATCAATGTTTTCCAAATTTCGTACTCATTTGAGTCTGGAAATCTACCCACGCGGAACACCGCACGAAGCACTATACAATACGCTGTTGTCCGGGGTTCCCTCTCAAACCTCGCTGTATGACTCATAGCCCTCCCGTAGACTTCGCACCCCGGCCACTGCTCGTACTTGCCCCCTTCCCTCCCACATTTACCGCAATGTTAGATTCGTCATTGAATGCTTCCCTGACTGCATAATGATAGCTGCTGATGCATTCCTCGCCGAAGGCTGACCTTTTAACTATATACCTCTGTTCGACCAATCTTAAATCATTTACCATTCTTCGATTATTAGTTCCCTCCCTAGATGTTATCACGTAATACGCCTCTGGTTTAGTTTCCTTGAATTTATTCACCTTGTTCTTTCCACGACGATGAGCTTGCCTGATTACTCATGCCATGCAGGTAAATATTTTCAGGCCAACCTTACAGCGTATCTGCGCAATTATCTGCGTATGGGCGTGATGTCAGTATTTCACATACTGGCGGACGGATTAACTGCAATCATTATTTCGGGCTGCGGGCTGGGCCCATTATAAAATAATTATTATTATTAGTCGTTGAACAAATCCAAGTAAAACTGCAGTGCATCTATAAAATGAACAGTCTTTAAAACGCTGGCGTGCCCTTTATTAATTGCGTCACGGTTCTGAAATCATTACCATATTATAGGAGTGAATAATGGAGATCTCTATTATTCACTCCTGGCCACATGTCTAGCTTATTATTATTATGAGTCAGCTAGCCTATCAGCGATAGCAGTGAAAAGCATATGTCCATGTCCGCGCTCACGAGGGTATGTGTGAACTTCAGCACGGTGGAATCAGTGCGGTGTGCAACTGTGCATTAGATATAGCAGAGAGTTGCGAGCAAACAGTGACGCTCATAGGGCCTATGTCCCCCAAAGTACTGCCGGAACCTACCCTGGGTACGGTCCGGTATACCGGAACGTACCCTGGTAACTATTTGATATGGTTAGGGTTAGCGTTAGAGTTAGGGTTAGGGTTAGGGTTAGTGTTAGGAAGTAGGCGTAGGCGACTCCCTAGACTCGTTGGTGGAGTAGGCGAGGTACGGTCCGGCATATTAGATAGTACCAGGATACGTTCCGGTTTACCGGACTGTACCCATGGTACGTTCCGGCAGTACCCTGGGGGACATAGACGCTCTCAGTAACAGCTAAAACCAATAAATGCATAACGATATGGGAATGTTCTTAGCATATTTTTAGCTAATGTAACCACACTAGAACCTCCAGCAAATATTACGAGAAACATTCCAAGAACATAACTCTCTTACCAAGTAAAACCAATGAATGCATAACGATATGAGAATGTTCTTAGAATATTTTTGGCTAATGTAACCAAACTAGAACCTCCAGCGAATGTTACGAAAATGTTCCGTGTTTGCTGGGAGTGACCAAGGGGCCCGTTTCACGAAGCGCTCGTTAAGTTAGTGATGGGTTAAAGAGGGGTTTTAGGATATCCTTATATATTATAGAGTGTTTCACGAAAGCCTCCAGTTTCCACGTTTCACAAACGTCTCGCTAACTCAACGACGAATTGCTATTAAAAAGGAATCTTAAGGACAGGTCAGGGGCAGTACTTAGGCTATCGTACAGATTTTTTTTTACATGACGTGAACCCTTGAGGTATGTAGGTAATGTAATGTCGTCATTTTCACGACCAGGGATTATAGCGTCCAATGGTGCAATAGTTCATCCGCTCGAGTTTTACATACATACTTTCTTCCTACGTTTATGAATCCGCGCCATCTTCATTTCGCAATCGTGTCACAATTTTTTTAAGTACTAGAAGACTCCTGGTGGAGTTTTCCGGTCCTGGGAAATAAAAGTATCCGAGTGCAAAAATGAGCTAACTGTTATGTCTCTATGTAGCACAATAATAAAAAAGACCGTGCAAACGAGACACAGGCGAATTTATAGTTATTTATTACGAGATTTTAATTGAAATGTTTGTTGACAATACAAAAAAGCCGACATCGCTCATCTTTATCGTTCTTTCGATGGTGTTCTT